AAAGGGGATGCGAGGAAGGTCACGTGCGCGCACGTGATATTGACCGGGCACTGGCCCGTTACACTAAGAGTTCCTTATTATATATATTATAGTTAAGCTTAGACTGCGACAACGCCCACGAAAGTGGAGACACTTTTAGCGTCGCCAAGATATATGCGGGCACTCTTGGCAGAGTGGATACTGCCAAGAACTACTTATGTACATAAAATAGCCTAATAGGGTAATTTTTGCATTAATTTTGCATATCGGTGGGCGATGGGCGTCAAATTTCAAAAGGCCCACGGGCCGTGGACACTTCCTAGTGCCCATGGACGGGCGATGTCGCAGTCTAGTTAAGCTCTTATAAGAATTATTTTTCTTAACTAAAATATAATTAGTTAATACTTCCTATCTAGTCCTAATTATATTAGTCTTACCCCTAAAGTATAGTGGGTATTCTAAGTTCTTATAGAGTAGAATTAAAGATATTAGTAATATAGGAGAGGTCTAGTTAAGAGCTTAAAGGAAATAAAAAAGGCCCTATAGTATATATACTAGGTTAAGATATAGTTAATATAATATAAAGGATAGTATAAATAACTAAGGGAGAGTATATAGTAGACTGCGACAACGCCCACGAAAGTGGAGACACTTTTAGCGTCGCCAAGACATATGCGGGCACTCTTGAGTCTTGGCAGAGTGGACACTTCCTAGTGCCCATGGACGGGCGATGTCGCAGTCTAGTCCCCTATAATAAAACCTCGCATGGGTCCTGAAGCAGAGATGTATTCAGTGAGGATAAAGTTAAGGCTTTCTAAAGGAACAATTACTCGAGCCGCGATGCTTGATGGAACAGACACCAGTGTTGCGTCAACTTCTCTGATTTCTGCCACCCAAATATCAGTCGTCTTAATTTCCAAGTTGAATGCACAAAACCACCTAGCCATCCCACGCAAAACCCTGAGGGATCAAGGACACTAGCACGCATATACGATAAAACTTCAATCTTAACGCTATCAATTCAAATTGGAGACGCATAGTTCATTTACGAGAACCAGACGTGGAGGTGAAATTGATGGAATTGAATTGAATTGATCAACAAACATGATGGCACGCATCGTGCGGCTTGTCACGGGCACTCCCGTGATTTGCTCTTTTGGCGGACCTCATCTCCTTGTCACGCATCGGAAGTCATCCTAGCTGGGATGTTCAAGAAACACCTTCATGCCAAGCTTGAATTTGCAGCCTTGATAGATGGCAAGTCCATTATATGTTCATACACGCGCTTCCCTTTGCCCTCGAGGACCTCTTTTGCGTAGTTCTCTAGAGTTTTTCCCTTGATGTCGGGATACAAATCCTTAGCCAGCAAATAACCAAGATACTGAGCGTTTTCAGGTGTATTGTCTCCTCGAACACCGCAGGAGTACCAGTATTGAAGCTGCGCCAGTGTAATGAATTCCACCGAGTCTGCAGCTGGATGAGTCACTTCGACGGCGTGTACCTGGGCAGCGATATCCTCTGCCGTGACCTGGAAGCAGTCAATCATCAGCAGTATTCGAAAACGGGCGATTGAAACTACTTACATATTTGCGTGAGACCTTTTCTCCGCTCACCTTCTCCAGCAGCTCATACATCTGGTTCGGGGTAAACACCTCATTATAGGCGAAGACCATACGGTTCAGCGTTCGTGGGTCCGAGATTATGCGTGCAACATATGTCGCAACATCTCGTAGATCTGTCAATGCAGTCGGCACATTGCCATCTCCAGCAATGCCATCTGAGGTCTCCATAACGGCGTAATCGATGCGGCCGGAGGGGAGACGAGGCAAGTTAACTTGATACCACCAGCCTACATCGATGACAGTGTATGGCAACTTGATCTTCTTGATGTGATTGAGTACGTCCTCTTTCTGCAAACCGTGTTAGAATGCGTATGTCCCACGATCGTGCCCGTTGCATGGCTTACCATCTCCCTTAATAGCAAGGCACCTTTCGGAGGGGCGATAGTTGCGAAGAAACATGGCAAGTATCGCCTAACTCCTGCAGCTTTGGATGCATTAATCAAAGCTTTCTCGGCCATCACACCGCCACCGTAGATGGTCGAGATTACTACGTCGATTCCTGCTAACACTTTCACCAGAGCTTCCTCATCACCTGCAAGATCTGCCGCCACAATCTTGACGCCATCGTTCGCCAAACTAATGACTCCCGGCTTCTGGAGCGACGATGGTCTCGTCAAAGCCGTCACTTCCTAACCATGATGGTGTCAGTATGTGTCTGCCAAACAAATCCTTTGGCGTAAACGGGAACACGCACATATTTCGGATTGGTTGATGCAAGGAGACCTTTGACTATGATGGAGCCAGTCTGACCAGTTGCCCCGAGGATTGCGACTTTCATGTTGCTGCTGTAGTATGATTGAGATATGAAATTGAACTCGACAGCGTCGTGTTTATTATATAGCGAACTTCAGATGTGGGCCTGACAAATCATTCAGTCTTAACAATATGTGGTCTTACCAATATGTGGTCTTACCAATATGTAGTCTTACCAATATGTGGTCTTACCAATCATGTGGTCTTACCAATCATGTGGTCTTACCAATCATCAGGCCTGATATCGTACAAATTACCACCACTACCGCGAAATGTGGTACTTTGCAGAGTGATTGACTTATCAATTAGTGTCTGTTGTCAAATATTAGGTTAGAATATATGGTTGAAACCGGGTATTATACCACGAACATCATGCGACTTCGAGTACCAACAAAAGTGCATAATATAGTTAGTTATCGACGATAACTAACTAAAATGGTGCTGCGGCGGTGCTGCAGCACTAAATTTGGTGCTGCCTTGGCGCCAAGCCATAACGTATTTCACAACCGAGCCGCCACCCCAACCAAAACGCCTCCAGGAATTAGATCTTACTTAGTTTAACCACCCACCATGCCACCAATTCGCTCTCAAAGGTCTAAAGATTTAATAGAGCAAGAGGGTAGGCTTTCTTTTAGCTATCCAGGCTATCAAGAAGCAAGAAATTCATACTGTTGCTGCGGCTACCCGTACTTTTAATCTCCCGCGTTTAACATTACGCGACCGTCTCAATAGCTATACTGAACGAAGTACTATACACGCCAATTTATATAAATTGACTGCAATTGAAGAGGAATCTCTTAAAAAACAGATTCTTTCTATAGAACCTCGTAGAGCAGCCCCCCGGCCCTCTATAGTACGAGAAATAGCGGATCTTCTTTAAAAGTGTAGAACTACTATAGTTCTTTCGGTCGGCTAAGACTAGGTTACGAACTTCTTTAAAAGACATCCTCTTCTCTCCTCCCGATTCTCGAAACGATATAACCAGACTACGATATCGCCCGTCCATGGGCACTAGAAAGTGTCCACGGCCCATGGGCCTTTTGAAATTTGACGCCCATCGCCCACCGTTATGCAAAATTAATGCAAAAACTACCCTATTAGGCTATTTTATGTACATAACTAGCTCTTGGCAGTATCCACTCTGCCAAGAGTGCCCGCATATGTCTTGGCGACGCTAAAAGTGTCTCCACTTTCGTGGGCGTTGTCGCAGTCTACTCAGGGATGTGCTCAGTTTTACTCAGTGATCAAAAAGCGGCAAGAGGTGAGCACTAAAACGGAAAGGGAAAGGTCTCGAGTGCCAGCCATTATCCGGTAGATATGTGAAAGTCACGATTTAATTTCAAACAAGATATGACGTCACTGATAAAGCAACTATACTATATGACCAGGTGAGGGGAAAGCCAAGGAGATGTAGCCCATAGTTGCGCAGTTCTACGACTATAATGAAGGGGTGACTCAAAAGGTTCCGATCAGCAAGTGGTCGTCTTCATTTGTCAAATGACAATAAACAAGAATAATCGGCCGCATTTTGTGGCCTTGTGATGTCTTTTTAGTAGGTCTTTCTAGCGGGTCTTTCTAAATGTCTTTTTAAATATATGTGAAGGCGGTAATTTGTGCAAGAGACTTTTCTATGTATAACTAAGGAAACATGAAATCAACCTTGGAATTCGTATAACGTTCTTGCGTATCCCCAAAATTGGGAGGAAGAGAGGTCGCGGACGAGCTCTAAGCAAGGTAGGGGCTGGGGGAGGTGTTCACGGGGAATTCAAATTTGAATAAGACCCAGTTGAAGGCTGGGTTTCATCTATATCTTTGAGCCCCTGATCCTGGGGTAGGCCCCAAAAAGAAAACTCCAAGTAGACAGAGCATACACCATGTTGCTAAGCCAAAGTATGGGAGCCCAAACCAAATGCCTTGTAATTCATACCCAGTGAAAAAAGGAATGCTAATGCCGGCCCTGCGAACAGGGAGCCGAAAGTTTCTGAGATCCCGATCATCGTATTCATCTTCGACTTATCCCGTGATGTCATATAGCTCATAGCTATGGATCGGCATATGGAGTTCAAGCCCGCCCCTGATGTCTGAAGTATCAAGCCAGAGATTACAAGGCCTATGTGAGGGGCTCCTGTAAGAAGGGTCCCGAATATCACAAAGCAAGCCGAGGCGCGTCCAAGTATTAGGTCCCTGACAGCTGGCCGCATGTACTTTGAAAGCAACTTTGATAGAGCAGGAAACACAACAAGTAAGATGAGCATCTGAGAGATTCCACGAGCTGTAAGGAGATAGCCAACGTCTGCCAACGTCCGGTCAAATCGCTTGCTCACATATTGCATGAGTAATTGTCCATAGGCTAGACCCTCAGAAGTGACCCTGAGATAAGTGACCAGGATCAAAACAGTTGGGAAGGAGCGAAGCTTCTGGATGGATGTTTTAAGACCGGCCAAGAACTGGGGAAAACGTAAAGTGAACGTACTAGTTGTAAGCTCGCCCCATTCTGAGGCATTTCTCTCGGGGTTGTCTTTGAGTGTTATTATCTCGGGGAGGAAGACCAGCAAGCCCATACTGGCAGGAACAGTCAAAGAACCAATAATAATAGGAAGCCAGGGTGAGGATTTCTCCATCAGTCTAGAAGACATCACTGGGCCAGCTGAAGATCCGGACAAGCTTCCAAATGCCATCACAAAATAGGAAATTGTTCTAAATCCATGAATTTCAGTGGGCTCAAGGCCGCTTCATATCGGAACGTAGCATACATATCTGTGTCAGGCACCAGATCCGAAGCCAGTGAATATAGGCTGACATTGATGACAGTGCTTCCACCACCAATGAAAGTGAATAGCGGGCCCAAGAGGACGTATTCGATTGCCAAAATATTGGAGAACTTCAGGACAGCCAGAACATAAGCAAAGTACAGCGCAGTCCCCGTGGTTGATAAATATATGATCGGTTTGCAACCCAACCTAGAATGATATTCAACGATTTACATTGCTGTCCCCTCCAGTAGGTACTTTGCGGAACTCACTTATCAGCCAAGACACCGTATGGGAATGCAGCAATGAGACCTGTTATGACATATTAGTACCCCGGAACCCTCCATCAAGGTACCAGTCGCTGTGGCTGGCATACTGGTCACAGACTCTATCATTCCCACTATAGCGTTGAGATATGCAAGCTTGGATTGGACTCCGTCAGCCTTGCATGTTGCTTTATCGATCAAGGAGTCCTGTCGCTCAATTTCATCCAAATACCGATCGCACAGGTTATCTTCCATCAGCTGAGTCAAGGGAACTTGAATCATCACAGTAGCTCCCGACAAGAAAAAGATGCACAGGGACAAGAGGAAAGTTGCGAGGCGAAATTTCCACGGGCACAGTAGTGATGTGGACCTGCGCTGCCCCAACAGCGGAGCGGTCTCGTTTTCATGATGCATCGATGAGAGGAATAGCAAGAAGACACTAGGTGATTCAAAAATTTAACTGAAGGTCTGCAATCACTGGAGATGAGGGTTGCAAAAGATAGGTCCCAACATGGTGTTGCAAGCTGCCCCGATCTACAGAAGATGCCCGCGACAGGGATGCAATCACGGCATCTTATAGACCTTTGCGCGATCACTGCCGCAGGTTTTCTTTTTATAGGCGAGTCGATCTACAATAACACTCCGCCTATATGCTGACAGATTGCGTCAGTCTTGTTTAAGGCCTGGATTTTCAATATTACACCTGCGACCTGCTTTAGTTGCTTCAGAAAGCGTTCCGAGAGACAGTGAGCTTCCAGCAGCAACCATACTCGACCTTACTAATCCCTATTTCTCTTACTATGTTTCTCTATCTGGGGTACAGTCGCAAAAGTCCAGCTTTCATTCCTGGCTTCAATTGGGCTGTTTGTAATCGTGCTTCTGGATGCCGCACGCGTTCGCATTTTCTGGCTCCCAACACATAGGGCCTATTCAGCTTGTCTCACAACAGCTTTGTCTACCTAAATTAGGGCTACTTAGAAAATACCCATTGCGCCATTTCCACCCAGGGCAGGAAAGCCCAATTGTCTACAGAAAGCATCCTGGAATGCTGGGTCTCGTGACAAACCAGATGTAGCGCATACACCCATTTCAACAAGTTCCATCTTGCGCAGCCTGGCTTGAAGCACCGCGCATGTATCAGCCCAGGCACAAACATTGCCCGCAAGACCTTCAAACAAGCTGTAGGGCTCATCAGGCATGCGATAATCTTTGTCAGAAGATGCAGGCGAAGTGTTGTATGGCTTAGTTTGACGTGCATGCAACATGAACGCAAGTGCTCTCGAGAGGAAGAAGTCACTGGTGAGTTCTTGGCTCATCTCAACATTTGGAAGTGCTGGTAGTTGATTACGCTGGAGATAAAGTGTCCGGGCCTCGTTCAGTGTCTCCGAGTGGTATTCAAAACAATCATGAAGGAGAAGCCATGCCCATGCATTGCCAGCTATGCCATGACACAGACTGCCTCCCTTCGAAAGCAGACCTTCTTCCCATACACGCTCAGTGCCCAGGTATATGGCTTGATCCCAACTTGGATCCCAGTGAGCGTGGGTTAGGGATTTGTTTTTTAAGGCAGCTCCTAGGAGAATCAACAGTCCTGGGCTCCCGTGACATAGTTGAACTAGTTCTGAGGATGACTGCTTGGAACCATATGGAGGTAGTGTCATCGGGAGGTGGCCATTTGTAGATCCAGATAGCTTGCAGAGCGCAGTGATAGTGCCACCAATCACAGGAAGATAGTCTGCAAGCTCTTCTGGCTTACACGAGAGCAGGATGGTTAGAATACCCGCTAAAGCAAATACTAGCATTAGTTTTTGTAAGTCCCAGATAATCGCCTGAAAACTTACTTATTCCATGGACCCTGTACATTGTCTGTTAGCGATCTTATACCATCTAAGATGGCTCGAGATGCACTTACGCCCCAAAACAGTAATGACCCTCCATCCATGCATACATCAATGGATGTGCGTCTTGGGTTTCATGTTTTTCGGTGAATTCCTTGGATCCTTGTCGCCCAGCATCGAAAATCACTCGGATCAACTCAGGAATTGCGCCCAGCACAGGTGAGAGTGCTTCGTGGGTCTCTTGATCAAAGTTATGAGCACGAATGTTCAAAAGGGCCCCAAGCAGCCCTGCTCGGCCAAATAGCATCTCATCTCCGCCCATTTTTCGGCTGTTATGGGTAACAAGAGGTTCATTCTGTAGTGCCCACTGCATGGCCTCATGAAGGCAAGTGATATCCACCCTTGTGATGCCAACACTGACATTGTCTTGCCAATTATTCCGTGCAAACTTACCTAAAACACGCAGAATGACAGCAGTCACAGGCGAAGATGAACCAACTGGAGACAATCGGGAGGCTAGCAGAGGAGTGTCCGGGAGGCTTGATGGAATCCGTTGTAGTGCATAACGACGATAGTCAAGAGAAGCAGCTTTGGATTCTTCTAGCACCGAGGACTGATAATCTAGGCGTAGGAATGCCAGAGCGATACCTTTATCGGGTGATTAGATGATCGTGGCTTTGAGAAGCGGGGGTGGGCCTTGAAATACCGGGGAAATCTCTAAATATGCCATTTGGACGCCATGTTTCAGGCAAGGGTGTGTTCTCCTGTATCAACTCGGCACCATTGCGAACAGCAATCCGAAATTCTTGGAGACTCTCAGAAAGAGTGGTCGCATTAATTGGTAGCGGGGTCAAAGTATTCTCGAAGTATTGCGGACGCTCTGCCATGGTGAATGTTTTATATAGCTATAGGCTGACGAGGTATTTGCTAAGATATGGCGTGATATGAAGAAAGGAAGCTCAGTTATGCAGGTCTGAAAATTTGCCGGTCTGACCAGGACTCCCCACTCTCCGTACTCCGTATTGCTTCTTCCATCATACAACGCACATACCCTGGACGGCTCAGCTAGCCCCAAAACAAATTCTAGCATCTTCTCCACCAGTAACGCTAGTTGCATTCAGCGCAAGATGAAATTATAGTGGGACCAAACATTGGCGTCCTATCAAATCCACCGAAGCTCAGCTACACAATCCGTCCACAATAACAAAACATGCATACTACAGTGGAGTATTTTAATACTAGGATCTTCGATTGGGCGTACGATGTATGTATACGGCTCTTCTAACATATATAAATCCTGATAAACTAAACTTTAATACCGATGGGACCCTGAGGAATATAAACACGCACTCTGTGGACTGCCGCACGCAGGCTACACCAGAACACTATCTCTATAAACCGGTGATTTTCTTTCATTTTTATACTACAATGCGTCTAAAATATCAAAAAAAGGACAACAGTTTTAAGAGCTGCTGTTGTTACATGTTGGATCTTTATAATATATCAATTGTATGGCACAGACCCAAAAATTTCACCCAAACCTAGAGTTCGCACCTTGAGCCAATGCGGCACCCCCTCGGCTACACACTGACAACTTTGATTTTGTGTTGTCTGTCCAACCATTGAACCTCTTCTGGCCCTTGCGATTCAACAGTACTGAGTGCATTGTGCCGCAAGACTCAGGATCACCCTGCTTTGTTCACTTTATGCCAAGGGTCACTGTCATTTCAAGAGATCCGAAAAGAGAGACAGAAACATTCTTAGAAGGGTATGTGGTATTTAGCAATTGTTAGCACTCGATTCTAGTCCTCGAGGCTTGTGTCAAAAGGGGTAATATTATTGGATAGGATATAAGGCTATATCCTATATACTAAATAGTATAGGCTCTGTCTGAAGACTATATATTCCTAGACATAAGTAGTAATTATGGATGGGTGTTAAACGCTAAAAAAAATACCAAAGAAAAAGAGATTCGCCAGATTTCTGGACTTGCAGCAGGGGCCAATCCCAAAGTTCATCATTGCAACGAAAGGCCTCCCGAGACAGTGTAAGGTTATAGGCGCTTTGTAACGTGTGAATGGACAGCCAGATATTACAAAGTCGAGGGAGTCGAGGTCCCCATGCGTCCCTCCTCAGCCATTTTCTCCTTGTTCATGGTGTCAACGGTGTCAGAGCGGGTATCGCTGGGGGGGGAGGAGTCTTTCTCCACAATGTTGGCCTCGTCCGAATTCGTCGTGTCGACAGCATCTAAGAATTGTCAGCGTGTATTCGTCACAAAAACAATCAATCACGTTAAAATGACGACAAGACTTACCAGGTTGAGGCTCCTTGGGCGGGGGACAGTAAAAGCCAACAGCGAGGCAGATAATCATGAGAATAATCTCCTCGAGGACGCCCATGCAGAGATTGACGGTGGGGTTGGGCTCAAACAAGTTGAACCTCTCGATGTCCGTGTAGTCACCCAAGCAGCCGTAGATGGTACGCACGATGAGCAGTGGCGCACAGGCGTAGACTGAGTACAGGATGATCTTCTCGTTGCGAGGCATCTCATTGCGGTAGATGGTCAGGTACCCCATAATGGCCAGCATGAGACCCAAGCAGCCGACGAACATGCCCAATGCAGCTTGGAGCATGGGGGGGATGGTGTAGCTGTCGAGGGCCTTGATAGCGCCGGCGATACCAAGGGCCAGCCCGACCAAGCTGACGATGCTGACAAAGATGAAAATCCATTTGGAGAGCTTGTTGACCGAGACGTTTCTGAAGAAGACATGCCTACATCAGTTTCTAGTCACGCGTAGGTGGATATCAGGTTGCGACTTACACTCTTTGCAGCAAACCCACGGCAGCCAGTGTTAGGGGAGCGATGCCCAACAAGTCGCATGTGATTTTTGTGGTGACAACATCGATCGAGTCGTCAGTGATGGTGATGAGCTGGCATACAGCGCCGGCGATTCGGAGACAGGCGAGGATAATGAGGAATCTCCAACATGATGCCACGGCCTTCATTCCTTGCTGGTAACACAAAAGGATGGCGAGGGCAAGGCAGGGCACGAAGGCGATGAGCTGCAACAACGCGATACCATCTTCATAGCTAAACGCCATCTTAGATCGAGAGGGGCCGGAGCGGCGAATATAGCGGGCAGGTGTCTTGCTGATGGCTGATTGATGGGCAATCTAGATTACAAGGTCAGGGCAGGGATTGAAGACCCTGGAAAAACGGTATGATCTGATGAAACAAGTATGAAGGATAGATAGGGCGAGAGTTGGAAGTTATTCAAACACCAGCTCTTGCCTTGGAGGAGAAAACGATATGAGGGTAATAAATAAAACGTCCAGGGGGAATATAAGAGAGCGGCCTCCCGTGTTGGAGCAGGTGTACGATGAAAAGATTGCAATGCGTTCGGGCTGTGCACTTGAACACAATGACGAACGAGGCATTCAATGACAACTTGAGGGATTCGGGGATCTTCATGTGGAACAACTTAACATCGAGCATACCTCATTAGGAATAGATTCAAGATGTGGCGGCAATAAATGGGTGATGATGTGGATACCTGCCGCTCTGTCGGCTAGTCTACAATGGGACTAGCTGAGCATCACCCCAGAGATCTCCTTGGCGGTAAGGGGTCCCCTGTCATCTTTTGGGCTCTGCCTAGCAGCCTTACGCCGCTATTCCGTTTCCGTCACCGTTTTGTTCCTTTTGCCGAGCTATCCATTTTGGGTAATATTTCCCATCCCCGCAACTCTCGTCTCTTACAACATACCTCACACTCGGTTCTAAAACGCGTATACGGACTAGCCCCATTAGTGAGATTGATCAATGCAACCACGAGAAACACGTGCAATGCCCGTCTCCTTCCTTTGAACAGCGCCTAATTTACGCGTAGTTTCTGTAACAAGCCTATTATCTTACTAGTGCCGACTGCCAGGGACCTCCGTTATCCACCCTACTTTGTCGTTTCCCAGCGGGACTAGCACTTTTCTAGATCGTTACTACACGTTACTACATGCAGACAATGTCAGTCCGGAGGATCATGAATTACGGTTTTGTTTCTACTGTTAGCAAATCCCCCAGCGGAGATCCGGGCGATATCTAGCCAGGAACACTGCTGACAACGTGATGGCATTCCCTCTATATAAAAGAGAACAAGACGGGATGTCTGCTTTGTGGGGATGAACATGTTTTGAAGATCCATCATCTCGGCCTTCCATCGCCCTGGCCTTCTCATTCTTTACATAATTAGCCGGCTTTTGTTTTCCTTTCACCACCAGAAAAAAAAATAAAAGACCAATATATCACAATGGCCGAGACCGAGCAGCGTCAGCTCGCGTATTGGCTGGAGCAGCTCGAGGGAAGCCAGCCCGCCGAGCTGCTCTGCGACAAGCCCCGGCCAGCCATCTCCTCTGGCAAGGCGCAGGTCCACCACTTTGCCCTCGATGACCAGCTTTACCAGGAGCTCCAGGCCTTCTGCCAGACACATCAGGCCACTCCCTTTGTGGTGCTCCTCGCCGCTTTCAGGGCGACGCACTACCGCTTCACCGGTGTCGAAGATGCCACCATTGGCACACCCATCCCCAGCAACACCAACCTCTTATGCGTTCGCACCACCGTCGAGCCAGAGGACTCGTTCTATGCTCTCGTCCAGCGCGTCCAGCAAACAAACAGCGCGGCCTCTAGCAACCAGGATGTCGCCTTCCAGAAGATCGTCTCGGAGCTGCGTCCTGGCACCGCCGACCAGTCCCGTAACCCGCTCGTTCAGACGATATTTGCAGTTCACTCGCCAGAAGATGCCAACAGCCCACGGCTCGACGGTGTGACGGTAGCCACGTCCAAGTTTGACATTGAATTCCATCTCATCCAGGAGACTCAGCGTATGAGCGGTCACATCATCTTCTCGGATGATCTGTTTGAAGCTTCGTCCATCCGCTCCGTCGAGTCCGTCTTCACTGAGGTCCTCAGTCGTGGCCTCAAGACACCCGAGGCCCTCGTCTCGACACTACCTCTCACCCAGGGTCTCTCAGCACTGGCCGATATGGGCCTCACAGATGTTGCACGCACCGATTACCCGCGCGACTCCAGCGTCGTCGAGCTCTTCCGGAGACAGGTCTCTCTCAACCCCGACGTCGTTGCCGTCAAAAACGCATACTCGTCTTCTCAGCTCACGTACGTGGAGCTGGACCGGCAATCGGACCAGCTCGCCCACTGGCTGGTCCAGCGCGGGCTCGCCCCAGAGACCATGGTCGCGGTGCTGGCGCCGCGGTCGTGCGAGACAATCGTGGCCCTGTTGGCCATTCTCAAGGCCAATCTGGCATATTTGCCTCTCGACGTCAACGTCCCCGTTGGTCGCCTCGAGAGCATCCTCTCCGCGGTCCAGGGAGACAAGCTCGTCCTTCTCGGCACCGGCGTCACGCCTCCCGCTCTGCAGCTCAAGGACGTGAGCTTCCGCTACATTGCCCAGGTCCTGGACGAGCAAGGCCAGCTCTTCGCTGGCACTCTGCCGACGCCAACGGCTTCTAGCCTCGCATACGTCATGTTCACGTCCGGGTCAACGGGCAAGCCCAAGGGTGTCCAAGTGGAGCACCGCGGCATCGTGCGCCTGGTGCGCGAGACCAACGTGGCCTCCAAGACGCAGTCAAGTGGCAATATTGCGCACGTTGCCAACCTGGCCTTTGACGCCGCGACATGGGAAATCTACGCCGCGCTGCTAAACGGCGGCACGCTAGTCTGCATCGACTACCTGACGGTCGTTGACCCGGTCACTCTGGGACAGGTGCTGCAGCGCGAGGCCGTGCGGTCCTGCATGCTCACGCCTGCTCTCCTCAAGCAGTGCCTTGCCAGCGCGCCATCTGCTCTCTCCGGCCTGGAACTACTCTTCGCTGCCGGAGACCGCTTCGACCCACGCGATGCTGCCCAGGCCAAGGGCATAATCAAGGGTGACCTCGTCAACGCCTACGGTCCCACGGAGAATACCACCTTCAGCACTATCTACAAGGTCCCGGCCAACGAGAAGTGTGTCAACGGCATGCCCATCGGCGTAGCCATCAGCAACTCGGGCGCCTTTATCATGGACCCGGAGCAGCGCCTCGTGCCTCCTGGCGTCATGGGTGAGCTCATCGTCACTGGCGACGGTCTCGCCCGTGGATACACCAATGCGGAGCTCAACAAGAACCGCTTCGTGCATGTGACCATCAATGGCGAGTCTGTCCGCGCCTACCGCACCGGTGACCGAGTGCGCCACCGCCCTTCGGACGGTATGATCGAGTTCTTTGGGCGTATGGACTTCCAGGTCAAGATCCGTGGTCACCGCATTGAGCTGCCCGAGATCGAGCATGCTCTTCTGCGCAGCGAGTCTGTCACCGATGTCGTGACTCTGGTGTACCAACCTGAGGGTGAGCCGGCGGAGCTTGTTAGCTTTGTCACTGTTCAAGGTGATATCGCGGATGCCGCTGCTCAGCAGGACTCTCAGGACCAGAAAAACGCCGGCGACGGGGGCCGGTCGAAAGAGTCTCTGACCAACAGTCCTCTGCACCTTCAAGAGGCCCAGGTGGTCGAGGCTCAGCTCAAGACAGCGCTACAGGCCTCATTACCCAAGTACATGATCCCTGCACGCATCACCGTGCTGGACAAGATGCCCATCAACGCCAATGGCAAGGTAGACCGCAAGCAGCTGGCCAGACTGGCGAGCGAGCTCGCCAAGGCGACTAAGGGCTCTCGTCAGATCGTGGAGCCGCGTACAGACCTGGAGCGTGCCGTGTGCGAGGAGCTCTCCAGTGTGCTCAACATCGATGCTGTCGGCATCACCGACAACTTCTTCGACCTTGGTGGCCACTCCCTCACGGCCCCCCGTGTTGCCGCGCGCATCAACCAGCGCCTGAATGCAAATATCCTCCTGCGTGACGTGTTCGCTCACCCTGTGATTGCTGACCTGGCCAAGAAGGTTGGCGAGTCGCTGGGCGATTCGCCCCGGGACAAGCTGGACCAGAACTCCGGCGAGGACGAGGCCATTGAGATCGAGGACGAGGAGGAGCTGCTGACCATGCCGCTGGCCACCAAGCTGCGACACTTCAACTCTGTTGCCCGTCCGCAGTGCGTCAAGTCGCTAGGCATCGCCAGCGAGGACATCGAGCAGGTTCTGCCCGCCACCGGTGTTCAGACCCGCATGCTCGTCTTCGTCGAGGAGGCCGAGGAGATGAACATCACCAAGCCCTGCATCGAGCACTTTGTTTACCACGTGCCCGACGAGCTCGACTCCGCCCGCCTTAATCAGGCCGTCGTCGACGTCACCAAGCGCCACGACGCCTTCCGCGCCGTCTGGGTGCAGGTCGAGCACCCCCTGAGCCCCTACGCCCAGTGCATCCTCAACCCTGCGCACCCCCGTGCCCAGCTGCCCATGGTCCACAGCGTCGTGCACGAGTACGATACCAGCCCGGATAGCCTCTGGGAGCAGACCATCAGCAACGCCCAGCGCAGCGCCGAGGAGTACATCCGTCTGGACCGCGTCGGTGCCGTTGTCCACGTCGTGCGCTCCGCCGACAATAAGCACCACGTCCTCATCTTCTCCCTCTTCCACCTCATCTACGACGGTATGAGTCTCGACTTCCTGCGCCGTTCGTTCGCCCAGGCGTACGAGGGCGTTCCTCCCAGCAATCTGCGCCCGGTCAGCATGCGCTTCCCCGTCGAGGAGCACTACAGCACCGACTGGCTTGCTACCAGCATTTACTGGATGAAGCGTCTCGCCGGTGTGGCCCCCTTCAAGGCTGGCCAGACGGTGCTCAAGGGTGCGGTTCCCGGACAATTCACGTCGGTCCGCACCACCCAGGACACCGCCTGCGAGATCCTCGAGTCCTCCATCAGCTTGAGCGAGCTCTTCTCCCTCAGCAAGAACAAGTTCCCCTCGCCCATGGCCATTGTTCAGGGTGCCTGGGCCATGACGCTGGCGCAGACTCTCGTCAAGGCCAAGAGCGCTGGCCAGGAGCCTTCCGCGGCCAACCTCGACGTGCAATTTGGCAGCGTCTTCCACGGCCGCCACAGCCCCGAGGCCCTCCGCTGCGTGGCCCTGATGCTAAACGTCTTCCCCACACGCATCGTCTTCTCAGACGCGTACAAGAGTGAAGAAAAAGGCGGGCCCAAGAAACGCACGCACCGCGAGATCTGCCAGGAGCTGTTCACGCAGTACGTCGACTCCCTGGCGTACTCGGAGATGCCCTGCCCCACCATCGACTTTGCCAAGCTGACGCGCCGCTTCGACAACACTATCATCCTGCAGGCCTACCCCAAGGAGGAGGTCGATGTCGACGCCAGCGGGCTGCCCAAGACCACCATGGAGACCTTGCCCGGGTTCACCCGCGAGGAGAACCTGCAAGATCCCTGGAAGGAGAGCAATCACGGCTACCCGATCTTGATGGAGCTCTGGCCCGGGCGTGACAACGAGGATGAGAAGTTCCGCCTACGTTGCACGTACAACAACCGCTGGCCGGGCTACGAGTTCATGACTCAGGAGTGGGCCCAGGGCTTGCTGCTGACCCTGAATCATGCACTCAATCAGATCTTGCACAACCCTGATGGGGAGTTTGACCCTGTGGGGCTTGTCGAGGCAAGACAACAGTAGATGTTTATAATGAGTGGTGAAATGGGATGATTCTATCCCTTAGAAATCCTGTATATAATTTCGAAATTTGGTTTAGATGTTTGGCTTTGGGGACCGACTGTTTTGTCATTTTTTTCGGTGATGCTTCTTGTTCTTCTTCTTCTTCTTTTCTGTCTTGTAAATCTTTCATGGTTGCGACTATTAGCTTGCTTCATTTCTAGTTCAATTAGATCTTCGCCATTCAATTTAATCTCTGAAGAGTTCAAAGTGCTGTTGTACATTGCGTACCATAAGTTTATTTTTACAAACCTCTTGATATGCTGCATTCTTTAGTGCACCAATGTGCTGTTTATTGCAATAATACGTCCTATCGGATTCCGAAGTACTACAATTACGTCAAACAACGCCATTGCAAGTGGTGCAGTCGTTCCTCTTTGGCCGCCTTGATTGCTGCCTCTAGATAAGACCTACCCTAGACCAAGCAACTGCAGCACCATCATTACCCCGTTCCGATTTATTTTACCTATGCAAGATTTCAATGACTCTTGTGGACCTTGGGCAACTTTCTTCGGTTGATATTGATGTTCTTCGTCATCAGTTTGGGTACTTCTGCTCGTTTGTAAAAGAACCTTTTTGCTCATCGCGAAGAAATTAAGGATGTGACATTTTCAGTTGGGCAATTATCTATCTCGCAAGATTTAGTGCTTGGTGTCAATTCTAAGTAGAGCTCCGCAAAGCCCATAAGGCCCATAGCTAGGCTTTGGGCCCTAGCTTCGGGCCCACCGGTGGCCTATGGGCCTAAGGAGAAGCCCACTGCGGGTTAATGGGCCCATTCGGCCGAGAATTTAGATGCCAAGTAAAGTTGAACCCCCTTTTAAGGGTTTTAAAATTACCCTTCGTTTACCCCCGTTTCTAAGCCTTATTCTAAAGGTAATATTTTGTTGATTTATATCATTTAGAATCAATTACTAGCTATCTCTCTAAATCACGTTTAAAAACGCGAGAAAGCGCGTTATTTAGATCATTCATAAATTACAGAAGTTCACTTGGAAAGTAGCACTACTCCTATGTAACCCTAAATATATATCTTGTCAAAACATTGATATTCACTTTTTTTTCTTCTCGTACTATCTTAACCTCTACCGGTCGGATTTTACTTAAAATATAAATATATACGGCGTACTTATATAGCTATTACTTTATAATAGATACTAAAAATTTAAATTCTATATATAAATGGAAGGTTAGAATACAGCGATTATAAGATGCCGGAAAAACCCCTTTTGAATGGGATTTAATGGGGGCCTCATAGTGCAGGGATGCTACCTAACCAAAAGTTCCCCCCAATAGGCGAGACTACGACTTGCGAGACTTGGACATTTGCACAAACACTTTAAAAAACTCTTCCAGATGAGGCGTTTTGGTTTAACATTTGATTTGTGATATTTGTGTAACCCTATAGTACAGTCTATGTTCTATATGCAGTTTATCGCTGTATGGAAATATCTACAATTGAATGATGCTTCCATACCATCAACTCAATGGTGGACGGAGGTTGCTTGATTCAACAAAGTTGGCAAAATTATCTGCCTGCGTAAGACCTAATTGGCAGCTGATTCTGCGCAACTGGGCGGCAGTCCACGCACGGGTCTCGTGGCTGAGGTTGTGCATGCAGCCCACAGTGAGGAGAACCCAGCAGGCAAAGTAGCCGCCGACGGCCGAGCCGGCGTTGTTCTTGGAGCGCTCATGCTGCTGCTGCTGCTGCTGCTGCGCCTGCAGCTCCTGCGCCGGGGAAGTGCCGGAGCCCATGAGCTGGGGCACGGAGGCGAGCATCTCGTCGCGCAGGCGGACGATGGTTTGGGTGGCCTGGTGCAGGCGGTCGGCGTAGTTGTTGGCGAAGAACCAGTTGCTATCGGTGGTAGCGCCGCGGAGGAGGAGGTGGCTGATGGCGTGGTTGGCGAGGATACGGCAGACGCGCATGCCGTTCCAGACGGAGGCGACCCAGACATCGTGGTAGATGTGGTTGACGTCGCGCTGGATGCGAGTCGGATCGTAGCTGTTGCTGGACGAGTTGGATGTGGTGATGAATTGCCACTCGGAAGGGCACTTGGAGAAGGCGCTCTCGATGCGGTAGTCAATCTCGAACGCCTGTGAGAGGTAGCGCTCGAGGTGCTCAATGGAGATGTTGGTACCCTTGAGAGGACCCGAGAGCATGGAAGTAGAGGCGGGGGAAGAACCGGATGCAGTAGAAGGGGAATTGGAGGAATCGGAAGGGGTTGCGAGAGCGGAGGAGGAGGAGGAGGCGCCGGAAGATTTGGGAAAGAACGAGTAGCCGCCAGGGGAAATGTGCTGGTAGAGATCCAGAAGCTCGACCATGCCGCTGCAGGTGACCCAGTAGGGATCCGAGACGCTGATGGCGTTGGCGGCCTCGATGCGCAGCATGCGTAGGCCCGAGGGTATGGGGGAGCCGGAGCGCAGGCAGTTGGTGATGAGCTGGGAGAAGACATCCTTGAAGATTTGTAGGCCGGTCGAGGTGGAGAACTGGGAGCGGCCGCGCAGGTTGAGGAGCGAAGTGGCACCCTCGATGTGGTGCTTCCAGCCGTCGATAGAGGCCTTGCTGAACTCGTAGAGGGCGAGGACGAGGACAGAGACGATGGTGCTGTCGCGACGGGCGGCCTGGGGGTCGGCGAGGGCGAGATTGACACGCTCCATGGTGCGGGTGTACATCATCATGGACCGGGTCAACAGGTCGGTCTGGCTAGTGGTGCGAGCGAGCCCACTGAAACCGACAGCCAGAATGGCACACTCGAGCATGTCATTGCCGCCGTCGTCTTGCGCCAGCATGGCCGGAGCGTAGTCGAGGAAGCCGGAGGAGGGACCGGACTGCCGAACGACGTAGTGAGAGAGGAAGAAATTGAGACCGATCATGACGAGAGGCAAGGAGAAGGGACGCGCTATGACCTCGGGCTGACTGCTGGTGAAGTTGTTGTGTCCTAGCCGTTGGCGGTCGCCGCGGTTGCTGCCTTCATCAGGGAACTGATCGAGAGCCACATCGTCGCCGCCTACGCTAGAAGCTCCAACACGGGAACGATGCCCAGACACGGAGACAGGAACAGAAGCAGCGGATCTAGGACCGTCGCTCGATACTGGCATGGCGCTGGGCGAGGCATCCTGGTCGAGGGAGAAGAGCCCAGTCTCGTGTGGGTTGAAAGGGTCGTGGAAGCTCATCAACTCGGGCATGAAGTTGCCGCCGGCGAACATCCCGGCTCCGACATCGACGTCGCTCATGTCCAGCATGGTTTCATCGACGACACCGGAGGGGTGGCTGGCGTGATAGTCCGGTGCGAATGTGTTTTGTTGTTGGTTCTGTGCCTGTGGTGGGGCTGTGCGCTCCACCGAGAGGTGGTCGGTTGGGGTGGCGGTTGAAGTCCTCTTGGAGACTTTTGAGCGGGCGCGGTTGATGACCTGGGTGCTTTCATCGCGAAAGATGAGGCTTGAGGGATCTCTATACCCGGGGCATTTCTGACCTGTGCGACAACATTGACCGCATTCTGGGACTGCTTTGTCGCACTTTTTTTTTTTGAGGTTAAATGTAAGCCAAAATGTCTTACTTTTTTTTTCCCTGATGATTTTCTGTCTTTTGTAAAGGGGCGCAAACAGTAATGACTTACTCTTCTCTTCCTGGCGCGACAATTATTACAACTTGTTGAAGGACGACCGCAGTAGACCATGATAGCGATTCTACCAAGAGGTGATGATGATTATGGATGGATAGGTGGGGAAATGTATTAGGCATCAAGCCCAACGCATCGACTTAGTACGTAAATAAGAGAGTGGGGACCATCCCGTTCCGCGTGGAGACACAAGCCCTGGAGGTAAGGCTGGATGAGGTGAATGCCAAGTAACAAGTTCGGATAACGATACGGTTAAAAAAGGACTGGGAAGAGAAAGCAAGACGATAAGACGATTTGAAGTGGGCGAAAAAGGTTGTACCTAAACACACACACACACACACACAATTTATTAGCGCCCGGCGGCTAAGCCCGAAAGGTAGCTATCGTGGTGCAACCTTGGAAATTGGTATGATGTGAGATGATCCCCCGTTATCTGCTTCTAGGTGGCTACATTTATATGTATGTAACTAAGGCCTTGGCACGTGGAGTCTAAGCCACGTGATGGCAACAGTTGCCACTTAGGTACGGAGTATTTGAGAAAGTCTCGTCCTGAGACTATACAAATGTAATGAATATACGGAGTATTGGTTCTCTAGCTCAGAGTGCCATAAAAATCTAACAGTGAATGTTATGCGTTAGCCTTTCTTTGTACTCGCTAGAGGCTAGATTTGAAAAGGGTTGATAATATATACTATACTGCTAACTATTGTGACTCTTTATAAGGCGTGCTTATCCCCGGCTATTTGTGCTTTAGTCGGGATCTCCGTCTCACCCTTCTAGTCGTTCGATATAGAGTTTTCGGCTAGTTTAGCCTCGTTAGCTTAGCTAGGAGGTATCGGTATTTTTCTAACGGGTAAGTAATACTCGAGGAATTAGTACAAGATATCTTGTATATACTAGATTTGCTTTGGATTAATTGTATTTTAGAGTATCTAGAATCTAGCTAGGAGGGAGTTTTTACTAGCTTTATTAGCTTGGGAATCCGCGATCTAAGTTATACACGCTCTATCTATTGCATAGACTTCCGCAGAACCCAACTTGGGTCCAAAATTCCGACAGAGTAGCGTTGTAAAAAAGAAGCAAAAAAAAGCAAAAAAAAAGGAAAAGAAAAAGGAAAAAAGAACAGAAAGATAAGCAACGGCCTAGACCCAAAAGTTCGACACTACTGATCCACCTCGTAAACGAGCTTGAAACCGCTGACCTCCTTTCTCCGAATCATCTCCAATCCTTCCAGGATGCCGGGAAACCCGCCCGACATGACCTTGGCAGGGTGATTTTTGAGCTTGCCCTCGAGCAGGTGCTTCTGAGCGCCGCCGTAGAACTCGTCAGCAAAGATACGCGCATCGG